GTTGTTGTAGGGTGGCTGGATGTGGGGGGGGTCCCCTAAAAAGCCAACCCCCCACTTCCCAGCAAAACCCACCCCAAACCCGATCCCAGCCTGACCCACACACCCAGGGGCACCCTGGTGTCACAGAAGCACCCCAAAACTGGAAATACAATGTGTCCTCCCACCATGGGACAGCACCCACTGGAGACGCCCTGACCCCATGCTCCCCCACCAGCAGTTCAAGGTGCAGAAGAGCTTTGATTTTAATTTAAGGGGATAAAATACCTACAAAATAATAAAATATAGGGGCTGGTGTGAGCTAAACACGAGCCACGACAATTTTCCATTGGAATTGAACCACCTTATGGAGCATCCCAGCTCCAGCATCCATATAGGGGATCCCTATAGATGGGGAGGGGGTTGTGGTCACGACCTGGTCCCCAGCACACGAGTAGCTCATCATTCACCCTGTGCTGCCAGTGCCTTAAACACACCCTGAATAGTAAGGACCAAAGGGGACAGTTGGCGACCAGGATTTGCCCCTTGTCCTTCGGGATCTTCGGGTGGAGCTGGCTCGAGGTGGGTACCGGAGGGCAGGAATGATGCTGCTGCTGCTCAGAATGGGTCGGGATGTGACGGCAAAGCTTTGGCTTGCAGTGCGGTCACAAAAGCCTCCACCTGCAAGAGAAGCTGATTGAGAGTGTGGCACTGGGATGGGATTGGGATGGCACCGGGAGAGCACTGGGATGGGGTTGGGATGGCACCGGGACAGCACTGGGATGGGGCTGGGATGGGATTGGGATAGCATCGGGACAGCACTGGGATGGGGCTGGGATGGCACCAGGATGGCTGAGGTTTAAACCAGCACCTGCACCAAGGGTGTGGAAATGATTTTTCCCATGCCAAGTTGAAGGTGAGGTGGAAGCTTGGAGGATCCTGTGATCCCAGGATGCCGCCTCGGCCATTCCCACCTGCGCCATGAGGCCGCCCTGTGCAGCCACATCGTGCTCAAAGTCCTTCTCCACATCCAGCACCAGGACGGGCGCGTGCTTCATGTCCGCAGAGTGGACCCTGGGGAAGGGAATACACCACATGAACCCCCAAATCAACTCCCAAATTCGGGGGGTCACCCCGCAGCCGGTCCATGTGCCGGGGGATAACGCAACGGGATGGGCTTGGACTCACTCTGTGCTCTTCTCCACCAGCCACTGCTCGTGCTGGGCATGGAGCTGCTGCAGGTATTCCAGCTGGATGCCCTGCTCCTCACTCCTCGCCCGGCGCCGCAGCCGCTCCAGGCACGTCTGAACCACACCGGAGGAGAGAGGTAAATGGGATGTGAATGGGAGAGGTGGGAAGTGAATGGGAGAGACAGGAGATGAATGGGATGCAAAGGAGATGGTGAGTGGGAGAGGTGGGAAGTGAATGGGAAAGATGGGGGTGAACGGGATGCAGAGAAGATGGGAGGTGAATGGGAGAGGGGAAGGTAAACAGGAGAGATGGGAGGTGAACAGGATATAGAGATGGGAGGTGAATGGGAGAGAGGGGATGTGAACAGCATGCAGAGGAGATGGGAATTCAATAGGAGAGATGGGATGTGTAGGAGATGGGAGGTGAATGGGAGATGGGATGTGGACAGGATGCAACGTTCAGCAAAACAGCCCCAGAAGGACCGCAGCCAGTCATCAGGCATCCCAGGGTGATGCTGCAGCCCTCCCTCCCCAGAATCCACTCTCGGATCATAGCAGAACTCCCCCTGACATTCCCATGGGAACAGAGCTGCCGTTTACGGTTAAACCCCAACACTTCGGCAGTTCCAAGCGCTCACAGGCTGCGAGTGGAGCCTCATCCCAATCCCGCCGGGCGCGGGGTCTCTCCGCACCCACCTGCGGCGTCGCCCACAGGTACAGCAGCCCATGGAGCACGACGCGGGTCCCGAGCTGCTGCAGCAGGAAGCTGTGCCAGTCCTGGTAAATGGCCCATTCCAGCGGCTGCAGGTGCCCGGCCTCTGAGAGGTTCTTGGCAAAGACGTACCTGGGAAGGGATGGAGACAGGGGACAGGGCAGTGGGACAGCTCCACCACAGACTGGTTTGGGTTGGAAGGGACCTTAAAGCTCCTCCAGTTCCAACCCCCTGCCCACAGGCAGGGACACCTTCCACTAGAGCAGGTTGCTCCAAGCCCCTGTGTCCAACCTGGTCTTGAACCCCGCCAGGGGTGGGGCAGCCACAGCACAACCTGTGCCAGCGCCTCACCACCCTCACAGGGAAGAATTTTTTCCCAATACCCAATCTAAATCTACCCTCCTTGCTGGGTTTAGAACCACTTTACACTTGTTGACAGGCAGATGCCATGAATCTCTTTGACTGAGCCATCTATCTGTGGATAAA